GCTGCACCAGCTTGCATTCCCACCAACAGTGTAGGAGGGTTCCCCTTTCTCCGCATCCCCGCCAACATCTGTCGTTTCCTGACTTGTTAATTTTAGGCATTCTGACTGGTGTGAGGTGGTATCTCATTGAGGTTTTGATTTGGATTTCCCTGATGCTGAGCGATATTGAGCACTTTTTCATGTGTCTTTAATGGATAATATATTCTAATGCAGGCATGATAGTGCTGGTGGGGATGAGTGAGGACAAACCAAATATGCCAAGTAAATTATATGGTACATTAGAAGAAGATAAATGCTATAGAGTGTTGTGAAGTCTCTTATTTTTTTTTCTATATCATAGTGTCTTTTGTGTATGAAGGTAAGAGAAAGAGCTTTCACTGTTTTAAATGAGATGGTCAGAGACCAGCCTCCTTGAGAAATGATATTTGTACAGTATCTTGAATGAGCAATGTCTGTGGATTACCTGATGGGACAGCATCTTAGCAGTAGAAACAGCTGGTGCAAAGACTCTGAAGTAGGAGTGTATTTGGCATGCTTGACGAAATAGCAAGAGGGCCTGTGATGCTGGAGCAAAATGAACAAGGGGAAGAGATGTAGGTCAGAGAGTTAATGATGGTGAGAGTGTAGGACATCAGAAAAGTGTAAGAACTTGGATTTTTTCAGGAGGGCAATGAGAAGCTATTAGAGCGTTTTGAGCAGAAGAGTGACAAAAGCATGCTTCCTGTTTTAGAGTCTCCCTCTGGACACTCTGTTGAGATTACTTGGTGTGTGTTCTTTTGGGGAGGATTCAGGGATTATAAATTAGGATGCAGGAACCTACTTAACAGTCTGTTGGAGTCATCCAGATGAGAACTGATGACTTGATGATGATTGGTAGGGTTGGTGCTGGTGTAAAGTGGCCAGATTTCACATTTCTTTCAAAGATGTGTGAGAGACAGACAAATCAGGGATGCTTCCAAGGGTTTTGGTCCAGAAGTTGTAAGATTGATGTTGCCATTAATGTTAATATGGCATAATTGGAATTCAGTTTTAGAAAAAATTTTAAATAATCTATTAAACATTTAGTATGGGGGTATCACATGGGGCATTGTGATACATGATTATGAGGTTCATGTGGGAGGTCTGTGCTGGGGATGCAGATGTTGTACACAGCTGTGCACAGACAATGTGATAAGTAAGAGGGTGGAAGTTATTCTCAGGAAATCTAAGGCCTTAGCCCTTGGACACCCAAATGTTTAAGACAATGATAAGATAACAGGGAGATGAAGATAACCAGAAAATATCATTGAGAAAAGTGCTTCAGAGACAGGAGTAAAACCAAGAAGGAGCAGGTAGGATAATGGAATCCCTATAAAATAAGTACTACTGAAACAACAGCAAAATTTAAAAGGTTGGTGAGCTCTCACTGACAATTTTACTACTTGAAATTGTTACTTCCTATCAGTTACATTCATGAACATTTGGAGGAAAAATAAAACGAAGAAACATTTTTTTTCTGTATACTGTAGCTTAGCCCCGCCAGATACCTGATTCTCATTGCCCAATTTCACAAAATTTTAATGCTTTGTTTGGTGTGGAAAACAGGCTGAGTGGGGAAAAGTGCACTCTCTCTTAAATGCATATGAGCACCTTCTATGATTAAAATGGTTACCACTGGAAATGCATACTCTGTGCATACCAATCTGAATCATAGGAAACTGGAAATATTTTATATGTAGTTATGGTATGTCACATAATGAATTTATTATATTTGGTCACTTCCTAGAAGTTTCAGGAGTCTCAGAATTTTTCAAGTGTACATGTCTAACCCATGTATACATCCCAGTCTATACTAGTCTTTCTACTTCTTCCCTATCTCCAAATGTCCACTGGCAACATTTCCATTAGTTTTAGATACAACTACACTTTATAATCTTACAGTTATATGTCTGTCACATGATTTATATGTCCATTGAAATAATTGCACGTATGTTTTAAGTTTGTGATAAATTTTGCCTGAGAAATGACTTTCTAAATAAATATATTCTCTGATGCAGGGATTTCCAGCAAAGTTTAATGGATGTAAAATGTGGACACCTCAAGTCATCGCGTATTTTTACTGCTGATTGTAGTAAACTTTTTCATTACATTTGTGAAAAAGTTCACCGGCCCTGATTATTAAAAGAATTACTGTCATCAAAGTTTTAATATTTTCTTTCTTTAACAGCTGTTAGGGAAACAATTTAGGATATTCACTCAAATTAGCCCAATATGCATGATTTATTAAGGGTTATGATCATTCAAATATTCCTCAACAAGGTTAAAACTCTAAGGTTTATAAATAGGACTATTATACATTCAAAAAATAAGTTTATTGCTTAGAAATTTCAAGAACCAATCCACCAAAGAATGTGAAACAAATTCATTTTCACTGAGTATAGGATTTTACATTTAAAAACAATTAAATGATTCTGATATAAATAAGTAATTAATACATTCATGATGAACAAATTCTCTTAATCCATCTTGTTCCCTATTCACCTAGTTCCCTTCTCATAGGCAAACTTGTAATAGTTAGATAGTATTCCAAAGATATTCTAGGAAAGTACAGCCATATGCATGTTATCTGCTAAACAGAATGTTACATGACTACAAACAATATTGCTTCTTTACATTTTTGTTTAAAAATATATCATGCAGTTTGTTCCATCTCAGTACATAGAAGCTGCATCACTGTAAGCAGTTGCAAATGTTACACTAAACGGATGTACCAAAAATTTATCTAATAGTTTTATTTCCAATTGATATTTCAGTTTGTCCCAGAATTTTACAATTGTAGAAAAATGCTGGAATGAATAGCACTTAATACAGTATTTTTTGCCATATATATGTATATATATATATTTATATTTATATATATGATAAATCTCTAGCAGTGAAATCTCTGTATCAAAAGATGTGTACATTGAATTTTAATAGACCTGTAATATTTCAATAGAGGTTGTACACCTATCATCTCCACACAGCAACATTCAAGAATTCCTGCTTCCTCATTTCTTTACCACCACGTGTTATTGATCTGTTTGATTTTGTCAATAAAATTTTCACCAATATAAAAGGGGTTATATTGTGTCATTTAAATGTATAATTTCCTATTATTTGTGAAGCCAGCATCTCTTTCTGGTATTTCTTTTATTTAAACTATCTGGCCATGTCTTTGTGGATTGATATCCCAAACCTAATTTTGAGCAAAGAAACCGGACACAAAATAATCCATCCTTAAAATTCCCCTATTTGTAAGGTTCAACCCCAGGTAAATCTAATCTCTGCTATTAGAAATTAGGACAAAAGTTCCTGCTGTGTGGATTTATTCCTAAAAAGAACAATAAAGGAGAATGAATACTATTTACCATGGTGCAGAGTTATTCTTGGAAAGAAACTATGTCCAAGGGGCATTTCTCAGGTGCTGATAATAATGAGTGTAATAATCTGGGGTGCTGGTTACATGGGTGGTATATTTATTCCTTCTGCTGCCATGACAAGTACCATAACCTGGGTGTCTTTGAACAATATACATATATTTTTTCATAGTTGTGGAGGCTAGAAGTTTAAAATGAAGGTGTCAGGACCAAGTTCCATTTGAAATTCTTTATTTTACTTGTTTGAGTAAATCCTTCCTTGCTTCTTCCCAGTTTCTGTCGGTTGTGGGCAATCCTTTTGTTCCTTGGTTGGTCTCTGTATCACTCCGATCTTTGTTTCTGTCATCACATGGCATTCTTCCTCTGTGTCACTGTTAAAATATCCATCTCTTATAAAGAGACTCTTAGGCCCCTTCCTAAGGACCTGATTTTAACTTGATTACATCTGTGAAGACCTTATTTCCAAATAAGGTCATATTCACCGGTAATAGGAATTATAATTTCAGCATATTTATTTTTACCTTTGTTTCTTGTGCTTTTGATGTCATTTCTAAATGACATTTCTTTTTTTTTGTAAGATTTTTATTCATTTACTTGACAGAGACAGACAGCAAGAGAGGGAACACAAGCAGGGGGAGTGGGAGAGGGAGAAGCAGGCTTCCCGCTGAGCAGGGAGCCTGATGCGGGGCTCAATCCCAGGACTCTGGGATCATAACCTGAACCGAAGGCAGACGCTTAATGACTGAGCCACACAGGCGTCCTTAAATGACATTTCTAAAAAAAAAAAAATGTTGCTAAGACCAATGTCAAGAGTTTTTACTCTATGTTTTCTTCACAGAGTTTTATGATTTTAGGTCTTATGTTTATGTTTATCTCTTTAATGCATTTTGACCTAATTTCTGTGACTAGGTTAAGATAGGGTCTAATTTCACTATTCTGCATGTGGTTATCCAGTTTTCCCAACACCATTCATTGAAGAGATTACCCTTTTTCCAATGAGTTTTTTTGGCTTAAGTGTCAATATTAGATACATGGGTTTATTTCTGGACTCTTGATTCTGTTCCATTTGTGTATTACTATGCCAATACTACGCTGTTTTGATTACTATAGCTTTGTAATAAAGTTTAAATCAGGAATTGGGATGCCTCTAGTTTTGTTCTTCATTCTTGATTGCTTTGTATATGTTTTTTTGGTTTCATACAAATTTGGGGATTGCCTTCTCTATTTGTGTGAATAATGTTATTGGAATTTTGATGGGATCTGTCATTGAATCTGTAGATGATTTGTTGCTGTTGTTGTTGTTATATGTTCCTTTAAAGGAACCCCTATTAGGCTATTGGTGGGTTTTTCAGCAAAAACTTAGCAGGCTAGAAAATAATGGGAAGATGTATTCAATGTGATGACAGAGAAAATGCCAAACAAGAACAATCAATCTGGCTAATGTATTCTTCAGAAATGAGTGAGAGACAGACTTTCCCATACATACAAAAGCTAAGGGAGTTCATCACCATTAGACCTGACTTACAGAGAAATCAGACAGAAGATCTGTAAAAAATAGAAGTCTTAAACAACACTTTAGACCAATTATACCTGACAGTTATATAGAGAACACTCTAGCCACTGGAGAATACACATTTTTTCTCAATTACACATAGAACTTTCTCCAAGATAACAAATAGAATCTCAAAGGACTGTCTGTAGTGAAAGCTATCTTGAAAAAGAAGAACACAGTTGAAGGCCTTACACTTCCTCATTTGAAAACCTCTAACAAAGTTACAATTATCAAAAATACAGTCCTTCCTGAACTTAATGATGGTTATGTCCCAATAAACTCATTGTAAGTTGAAAATATTGTAAGTTGAAAATGTATTTAGTACACCTAAACTACTGAAATCAAAGCTCAGACCAGCCTACCTTAAACATGCTTAGAACACTTATATTAGCCTACAGTTAGGCAAAATCATCTACACAAAGCCTCTATTATAATAAAGTATTGACTATCTCAAGTAATTTATTAAATACTCTTGAAAGTGAAAAGTAAAAATAGAATGGTTGTATGGGTACTGAATAGTAAGTGCATCAGTTGTTTACTTTTGTGATCACATGGCTTTCTGGGAGGTGTGCTCACTGCCACTGTCCAGCATTATGAGGCTATTGTTAGCCAGAGAAAAGGTCAAAATTCAAAACTCAGAGTATGGTTTCTACTGAATGCATATCACTTTTTCACCACCATAAAGTCAAAAATCATAAGCTGACCCATCATAGATCCATCTATTTTAAGTTTGGTCTGTCTGTAGGATGGTACTGACATAAAGACAGACATACAGGCCAATGGAATAGAATAGAGTGCCCAGAAATAAATCTTTGCATATATAATCAAGTGATTTTTAACAAGAGTGCCAAGAGCATTTGATGGAGGAAAGGGCAGTTTCTTCATCAAGTAGTGCTATAAAAACTGCCTATTCACATGCAAATAAAAAAAAAGAAAGAAAGAAAAAAGAAATTTGACCCTTACCTTTGACCATATACAAAATGAACTTAAAATAGATCAGAGTACTAAATGTAGGACACGTCATTATAAAAATCTTAGGAAAAAACATAGTAGAATATCTCCATGACATTGGATTTGGCAATGATTTCTTTTTTTTTTTAATTTTATTATGTTATGTTAATCACCATACATTACATCATTAGTTTTTTTTAAGTTGATATTTTGCATTTTATTTTTTTTATGTTATGTTAATCACCATACATTACATCATTAGTTTCTGATGTAGTGTTCCATGATTCTGTCGTTTCCTGACTTGTTAATTTTAGGAATTCTGACTGGCGTGAGGTGGTATCTCATTGAGGTTATTTATTTATTTATTTATTTATTTATTATTATGTTATGTTAATCACCATACATTACATCACTGGCTTTTTTTTATTATGTTATGTTAATCACTGTACAATTACATCATTAGTTTTTGATGTAGTGTTCCATGATTCATTGTTTGCATATAACACCCAGTGCTCCATGCAGAATGTGCC